TTCATATTTGCATACACATAGCGAAATTTGTGGAGTGCTTGTCACATGGCTAAACACCACGTGAATCAACCGGCAACGTATGTGGCTGCGAAATTGCAATAAAACATATTCGCAAAACTTCTCGGTCTGTGGAGCTTCGTATGTGGCGGAAAGTGATACAGCCGAGGAAGAAGCACACTGCGACACTGATCGTTGCTGCAGGAGACTGATAGGATTCTTCACACAGCACACATAAGTGGCTGTCACCTTATGTTATTACGTCGCTGTCTGGGGGCCAATACTGTGACCAATAATCAGAGTTGTGTGGCTATATGTATATCCGTCTGGAGCAGACCTCATTACGTCTGGAGGCTATTGATAGTGTTTTCCATTAGAGGTACTAGAGTAAAGGCATATTTATCGTTTGGTTCTCCACTGTGTATTTGAAATCCCCTACCTTTCTCTTCTTCATAGTTCGGGAATCTCTTCTTCTTCATTGTTCGGGAATCGGGAGAGCACAGTTTCTTTACACGAACTGTTTGGTTATTGGTATTTGGTAAGGTCACAATAGCATGTTTCAACCAACTATGTTATCCCAATATTTTAAAGACGAAGCCGAACTTGTTTAAGCCCTGAATACAATAGCATGTAGAACCAACTATATTATCCCAATATTTCAAAGACAAAGCCGACTGTGTTTTTGAGCCCTGATTACCTGATAATCACCTCACCCTTTTGGACTGCTATAAAACTTCAACTGACTCTGACAGTCCATTTCAAATCAATTTCAGCGCTATTGGCATTGATTTTATGAATACATACCGTTGTAGTGCAAAATTCATTTTTACTCTTATTGCTAAATATCTCCTCCACTACTGACTACAGAGTGAAGACTATATTTATTCCATCTCAAAAAGTAAAATTTATGACATATAGTAAAACTGCTGTAACATCAATAACATCATAGAGCATATCTAAATATATCCTCATATCCTCATAGGTCAGAAGTTTTACGATTTTTTGTTCTTTTAACGCTGGTAAAACTCCGACGGAACTCATTGGCACTCCACCGACAAACAGTTTCCCAGTAGAAATCCAATCAAAACAATACTATCAGATTATTCGACGATAAACTGAAACTTAAAACTGACTTGACGAGGATTAAAAGTATGGGCGAATCATTTCGTATTTTGGTGTTCATGTTTCATCCGCCCTGGACGACGGTCTCTACGCTGTTGCGCAATACGCGCATACCCTGCAGCCATAACCCTCTGTATTTCCTTTCGAGTGCAATATCGCAGCCGCCTTGTTTAGTTATTTACAGCAACCCCAATCCCTATTCCCCAGGCTCATTATTGATTATATCATTTCTAAAAAGTGGCAACAGCCAAGACAAAGTGTTTACAGTTTTACACACTATTAAATACAGCATACAATAACTTGACACACTCATTCTATCTTCATTTTATTTTAAAACACACGCTGTTTAAAAGTAATATTATCCAACATGTTTTCAACTGTCACATCCACTGCGCGAGCGGCTTTACCTGCCAAGGTTCGTCACTGTTTTATTCGTGCACATTGGTTCGATGCTGAACAGATTAATACTAATCCCAGCAGTAAATTGGCTTGTTTTTTTCAATTACTATTCCCTGCCTCAAGAGCGCCGTGCAGGACTCCGAAGGGCCGTAAATTTGGTATCGTGTGTGTACAGCAAAATGATGAATCAAACATGTCAATAAGCTAAAAATGAATTTTGCTATATGGACACGTTGACAACTCTAGGGCCCTTCGGAGGCCTACACGGCGCTCTTGAGGAAGGGGATTGCGCTGGATCTGTACACTCTAGCCACAACGGAATGTGTATCACTTTTCCTTTGCTCACCCGGGTCACATTCTTTTGTTCTGATACATTGAATACAGCTGTCCAAGAAGTATGATTAGAGTTACCTTTCGATTTATGTTCACTTTGGATGTGTAAAAACAAGTCACACTGCTAATTGATCGTACCTTGGAATATTTGTGGTATTTATCGTGCAGGCTCTATGTAAGACGTGCAAATATATCGGCCAGAATTTGGCATCGCAAACGTTTAAATACGTGAACGAACTTAACAGTGCGTCCCTAGCTCGTAAAGAAACTCGGATATCACTGATTTGAGCCACGTATTTAAACGCTTGCGATGCCAAGTTTTGGCCGATGTATTTGGACGTCTTAGATGGAGCCAAACGCAGATATGAAAACGCTTGCGATGCCAAGTTTTGGCCGATGTATTTGGACGTCTTAGATGGAGCCAAACGCAGATATGACAATCAGCGGTACCCGAATTTCTGTACGAGCCAAGGACGCAGATATGCCGGAAAGAGTAAGTTTTGGATGATAGTATAATTAGCTTGCAATGGTTGCTCATACCGATAAGATTTGTGCATATGGTCGTGTGTGAGTCGGTGCAGTCGAATAGTGAGTCGGTGCAGTCGAATAAAATATATACCTAACACATGGTCTAATCCATAAACTGTACTTTCTCCAATACAGGTTTTTAACCACCAAAGGCATCTTCCGCCTCCCAGGCGGGCCTTAAGCAGATCCAACTGCTGGAGAAGAAAGTAGAGCTGCCCAACGCTGATGTGAAGGGGTTGCTATCTAAGGTGGAGGACTCTCGAGTTCTCACCCTTTACATGAATCATCACAGATCTTTAAATGACGACGAGACCTGAATTGTAATGCCGGAGCTGCATCTCAATGGTTCGTTTTGTTTTAAGGATATTGAGAGCCATCGCGGACAAGAAAGAGATAAGTGGGATGAACGCTGAGTAAGTCATTATTTGAATACGAAGCATGTCATTTTAATAAAAAAAAACGAATGTAAACGTATTCAAGTAATGATTTACTGAGGGTTCATTTCATTTATCTCTTTCTTGGCCGCGATAGCTCAATATCTTTAATACAAAACGGAGGACATTGAGATGCAGCTCCGGCATTACCATTCCCAATTGAAGAAAGGTCTCGTCGTCATTTAAAGATCTGTGATAAACCATAGATAGATTCATAAAAACATCTACGATGTTTTATATCATGAGCTGCCGAGGCAAGTTTATGTACAGTGCATAAAACTCGCCTCGGCAGCTCACGAGATATATATGGTAGATGTTTACATACCTGAGTATCAGAGTCACTATATATCATCAGCCTACAACTCTTTCA